CATGTTTTTACAAACTCATAACATTAACATCTACTTATTTATACTCCTTAAGGAAACTATAGAACTACTTTAGCAAATATATTTCTTATTACTTCTTATATATTTATTATATTCATTCCATCTTATTCTTATTTAAACTTACATTTACAACTAGCATCTTTACTTCTTACAAGCTTATTACTACATGTCTTAAGACTACCTTAGATACTTCTTGCAAGCTTATATTCTTAAAGGAACTCTATAGATCTATTTTACAAACTTATGCTAATAGTAGCCCTATATATGTTTAACTTCGCAAACACCTAAAGGTTTCTTAACACAGATCTAACAAGATAGAATAATTTCTACAAACTCACATCTTATTTTCATTTTTCTACTTCTTACTCTTAATTATTATTACTATCTCTATTAGAAAGATTCTCTTAACTAGACAGGAAGTACGTACATCATTTCTAAAGTTTAGAGTTAATAGTCAGCTTTGTTATAAAGCACTGGGATTTAGTGAGTGTTATTGTTATAGAATTGTGATAGTTGTTGCTAGGGGACTGTAACCTTCCCAGGATGAAGCCACACTCCAAAGTTGCCAGTTCTCTCAGCCCTTCTGGACTGGCAGAGATGCACTGTCAGCAGTAGACGGTTTTTAACTAGAGGCTGTCCCTTCACCCAAATTCATAATAGTTCCCCTAAGTGCTTCAATTCAGACAAACGTTTCTATTACAGCAGTACTTTTGGTTTGTTCTACTGAAAAACTTCACTTCACACTGAGGGTGAAATTACTGTATTTAGCTGCTGTAAAGCTCTTCACCAAACACTGCACAGCTATTAGGTGATATAAAGTATTTTTCTAAAGGAGCTAGTAAAGCCACAAGTGGCACAGCTCCGAACTGTATTTAGTATTTTCACTTCATTAGCTTTAACTCCTGATGTTATTAGCAGCTGTGATATTTAGTATTGATTTCTTATAAGGAACTTTCAGATGAAGCAAACCTTTTGTAAGACAGCTAGATTTTCTGAAGTTTGTTTCCCATCATCTATAAAGCAGTCATTTCTTTTTGAATGCCTGTTTCTTATCCCCTTAATTAGATTTGCAAAGGAATCACTTGTTGCAGGCTGTTTGTTCAAGAGGTAAATAATTTTTAATTTCACATAAGTTTCTTCATATCTAAGACAACGTTTAGTGTATAAACTGCTCTCTTGCTTTCTTAAGGATTTTAAAGTGGCTTGTTTGCTCTTAAAGGTAGTTTTTTGTCATCCAACTACTGTAAAAACTTTGCACAGCTATTAGGGTAAATAAGGCATTTTACCAATGGAGCCCCAAATCTCGAAGCACCTAGTTCCGTATCCTTTCAATTTTTCATTGGAACTGACACTTAAACTCTTAGATGATTTTACTCCTTATTCTTTTAAAAGCTGTATTTTAAGTTTACCATGAACGTATTTTCGAGCTGACAAGTGTTTCAGGGCAATGTCGCCATCTTTAGCGGAAAAACTACCTTTCCCAGAATGCATTTCCCTTATATCAGTCCATAATAGTATCAGTTCCTTATATCAGTTCTTTATATCATTTCCCTTATATCAGTCATGTCCCGTATTTTTTTGGGTCTGAGAGTCAACTGGTTCTCTTTTACCAGACTTGCTTACAAATTCTTGCCTGGGAGGTTTGAACAAAGTTTTTTGCTTTTGCAATGGGAGATTTGAACAAGCATTTTACATTTTCAGCTTTGGCACGTTGGGAGATTCCCATTCTCTCCTCAGCTGGCTTCAACAGGTGTTTCTTCTTCATTTGACATTGGCCCCAGATCAGAACTGCACCTGCCTCGTTAGCGCGCATTGAGGTGGGCAATTTCTGATAGCAACTTTCCTAGGGGCTTGTGTTTGTCTTAGCCAGTCAGTGAAAAACAAGATCACATACAACAGCTTTTCCATAGCTCCTTCAGAGAGATTTTCTCCCACTGATTTTATTCTCATTTTGCTTGTTCCTCCCTTCCCCAGATGCAGAGCTTCAGGTATCTGTCTGTGGCTCTGTTCCTCTGCTAGCTGACTTTGGAGGTAGGGGCTTTTTTCTCTCCCCAAATCTGCCTTAAATTCTAGCAGCTTTTTCAGGTCATATATTTCTGGGGAGGATTATGTCCCTTCTGTTTCTTCAGAGTCTTTCTCCCAGACAGTTCCCAGTTTGGTCTCAGTTTATCCTCTCTACCCCAGAAACAGTTTCTAACACTACAGTGGCGGCTTTCCCTGCTATTGAAGGTAGGGGCTTTTTGTCCGTTTCTGTTTTCGGGGTCTGTGTGGTTTGCGTACAGACTGAAAATCTAACAAGGGAGGGTTTTGCCATTTCTAAACTCCCATTAGGACAGGTGTTTTGCTTCATCAGGCCTTCACCTGGCCCAGTCCCCCAGTGGGTTGCATTTGCTTGTCTGGGTGCTCAAGGACAGAGCTTATGCCAGAGGCAATCACCCCTCAGGGCTACACTCCCTCATCTCACCAGGAGTTAGTTGAAACAAAGCTTTTCTCAAAGAGATGCTTTCTCTGACAGAAAAGAAAGCTTTACTCCTGGATAGTTCTGTTCTGCCCTGGCTGGGCTCTTTCCCCAGACAGCATTGTGACTCAGCAGCACAACTGCTTCAGACACAGTTCAGCTTTACTGTTTTCCCAGAAAGGTCCTTACTCTGATAGGAAAGCTTTTCTCAGATTTCTTTTTGCAGCTGTGGACCTATCAACCCGGGACTTGTAGGAAAGTGGACAACTGTGCCGTTCCCACTGGCTTTAGCTTTGTTTGTTCATTGGCAATCTTCCCCTGGGTCCTGCACCTTCCTGCCTCAGCTCTGTGCTCCAGGAAGTTTACAACTGCAGGAACCCTAGTATCCCCGAAATGCACTCCAACTGAGAGTCGCTGGTCAGTCTCCTCTGGGTTTTTGGTCAGAAGCGAGAATACAATGCTTCAGGGGATCTTTGATTAGGAAGATTAGGAGCACCTTTTCATTCTGAAAAGCTCAAACAAAACCCTTGGTGCCTCAGCTTGGCTGTAACTGAAAAGCTTGGCTTTTTTGCTTTTCTCAGGTAAAGTTTCCTGCCCTTTTGGGCTCTCTGTAGCTCTTCACCCACACTCTCCCAAGCGTTTCCCTCAGGGTACTCTGACCCACTGTCTTTTACTAGCTTGAAGAGACAGAGCTTAGAAGAGGTTTTTAGGAACTTGTCCCTGCCTCCTGCATTGCAGGGAGGATTTTTAAAGCTTGAAAGAACTTAGGTTTTGCTGTCTTAAGAGGTTTGTTGTTTTCCCTTAGAGCTAATCACAGGTGGTTCCCATAGTAATATCTTCAGGTGATTCTAATTTTTGTCCTTCTGAGAGACAAAGTTAAAGGCTTTAGTTTTTAAGTTTTTTAAGAGCTTTTGAGAAAGATTAAAGCTTTTTAGAGAGATTTTCCCCCCAAATTTTCCAAGAAAAGCTTTATAGTTTAAGATTTTTTTTCTTCCCAAAAGAGAAAGACCAACTTTTCCCAAAACTTCCCAACTTTAAACTTTGGCTTTTTACACCCCCATTTTTGCCTCAGGGAGAAATCACTTTCTCCTGCAGCTTGGATTTAGCATTTCAGCTGTCCCCAGGTCAAGAAGCTTCCATAGGAAACTTTTTCTTCCCCAAAAGCTCAGAGAAGAGCTTTTTTTACTACCCATAAAGCCCAAAGAAAGATTTTTCCCCCCAGTTTGCATTCATAGCCCCCAAAGTTAGAAAATTGGAGAGTTTTTCTGTCTAGTTGCCTTACTTATTTTTTCCTACACAATCTTACACTTCTAAGGTTTTCCTACACTGTTTTACTACCCTATGCCTTATACTTATTTTTCACAGATAGAAATTGAGAAAGGGATAGAAGATAGAAAATTTTGACAGAAGAGAATTTCCCTGCAGCATCGGACATCCTTCCAGTCCGCTTTCCTTTTCTCTCAAGGATAAAACTCCTGACTCTCAATATATATAAAAAATATATATTTTCCATAACACTGGCATGCCTTATCTACTGGCAGGGCTGAACTCAGCACTTTAGCCAAAAACTCTAATAAAACTATTATTTTCCTTTATCTTTAGTCCCTATTACTTTGTCTTTAGTCCACCTTTTTTTCTTTAGTCCCTTTTTTTTCTTTTTTCTTTAGTCCCCCCCTTTTTTTCTTTTTTCGTTAGTCCCTGTTCATGGCGCCATTCTGTGGGGCGTTTAACCAACCACCCCCACAGTTCCCCAGAGTTTTCTTGAGTGCGAGCAGCAGGAAATATTAGAAGGATTTATTGCGGAGAATCTTGCAGAGATAAACAGATAGAAAATAAAGGATAGCCTCGAGAGGGCCTGGAACCTATTCCAACGGGCCCTGACTGTCTCTGCCCCAGGGTTTTTATAGAGATGCCAAGGGGTGGAGCAAAAGACCTCCTCCCCCAGCACAGCCAAGTGCAGACCATCCCAGACACCTGCACTTAGGCCCGTGGTCTAATCATCCTCTATGCGGACCTGCTGGGTAAAGCCACGAGGAACCCGAGAACGGGCTCCCACAAGCTACCATTATTATACTAGCTTCTCCTTTCCCCTCCTGCTAGGGTAGATCTTGCTTCTCACTCATCCAGCTTGGATTGGTTCTGGGTTAGAAGAAATCACACAAGTACCCCCCTCTCCAATGTTGTCTAAGTATGTCAGTAACATAAGAAAGACATTGAACCCAAAGGGTCTAAAAAACAAAGGTAGATGAACATTCTGAAAGTCACAAAAATGTATCCACTTACCTCATCTTTTAAGGGGCTTGGCAAAGCACTTACTTCTTTGTAGATGAGACTGAGACATAGCTATAAAGTCTCAGTTTCCTCTGCAAACAGTTATAAGTACTTAGCATGTATAAGAGGGAAGCAATGTTCTACACAGTATTTCCATGTGTTCTTTACACAGCATTGGTACAAAGAGCCACTTCCAGTTATTGGTACTATTCCCTCAGAGTCTGCCCAACCTGAGCTCCCACTGCACACCTACCAACTGGGGTTGAGATGATTTCTGTTTTGTTGGTCACTCCTATAAAATCAAACTCGAATAGCTTCCAAGTGTTCTTCTCATTGATTTTGAGCTTGAAATTCTCCAACTTGTAGATCATCTCATGTGCATCATAGGAAACTGGAAATCAACGTGGAAAAGAGGAGTGAATTGGTCTAGGAAGCCCAGCTGAGTGCCCCACAAACATGGTGTTAGCTTGAGCCATGTTTTGGAGTTTTTCACCAGCTTTGCGACCTTGCCTCTGGCCTGGTTGTTGAAGTCCATTCAAAGAATACATTTGCCCTGGTATTTGAATGCAGATTTGAGTAAGTCATGAACTTACCCTCCAGCATTAACATTTCACTGAGTAAGGTCATAGAGCTGTGATTTTTGGAGTTGTTCTGAAAAATCTCTTCCCATGGAACAATAGGCAAGTAAGGAAAGATCATTTGGGGACAGACTCAGAAAAGACTTTGTAGAACAGGGGGCATTCACTTTAAATTTTGAAATTAAACATTTTCCATATAGATGAAGCTGAAGAGAGTGAAAGGAAAGCAGAGAAAGGTGAACATGGAAAATTTTAGGGCAACTACTTCACAGATGGGTCATGTAGCAGGAAACAACAGGGTCAGGTCATGAAGGGCTTTGAAGTTCATTCTAAGGAATTTAGAATTGATCCATGACAGCTAAGAAAATATTTGAAATGAGGAAGTGAGCAGGTTTATATGGTGCTTCAGCTAGGTCACTCTGATTCTAATATAAGTGTACTATGTTGACAAGGTGCCAGTTATGGGATGCCAGTGCAGTAGTCTAGACACAATAAAATGAGTGAAGGCAGGAGTGAAAGCTCGGAATGCAGAGAAATAGTTGGGATCAATAGAGGTTTGGAGGGAACACCAACAGCATATGTGGACTGAGTAGATGTCAATGAGAGGGGAAGGTCACAGTTCTTGGCTTGGACAACTGGGTGGGTGATGGCACCCTGCAATGAGGCCAATGGCAACACAGAAGCAACACATTTGCTTTGGAGGCAGGATTTGGGAAGAGACAATGAATTTAGCTTAGGACACGTTCTGTTTCAAAGTGAAGATGTTGCAGAAGTCCAAGCAGAAGATGATAAAGCCCTGCATCAAGGCAGAGATGGAGAGGAGCAGACATACTTCAGGTACACTTTAGAAGCAGATGACTAGCTTAAGGTAGAGCAAGGGTGAGGAAAGAATCCAACATAAAGCCAAGGTAATGCAAACACAGCATTGTTGACAGGAAAGGAAGTGAGGATGGAAGATGGAGGCTTGTAGCAACCTTGGCACCATCACGGGGGAAAAAAAAGGAGAAGCAGAAAACATAAAATGAAAAGATGAGAAAAAGAGGGGCCCAGCACATCTCTGGATCCTCAGAAACCTAAGAAGGTACTCACAGCTAGAGAAAGACAGAGGACAAGAGTGAGAATCCATTGGAAATTTGAGCATGTGGAGTGAACATCTTGCATCAATGGTCATCCTGGAAGGGAGAAAGGAGCCATATTAGGCTGGCTCTGAGCACTTACGTATTCACTCAACATTGACCAGGGGTTCACCTCCAATGAATGGCGTCAGTAGAATTTAAGACAAAAAGCTCAAAGTAGCGATACAAAGAGAGGAAGAAGAGCTTCTAACATCTGACTACTGGACTCCATCATCAGAGAAGTACATGGAACCATTTAGATTGATTTTTCTTCCTTGCTCAACCCAGTGTTCTTGTTCTACACTCTTCTAATCTCCACCACCTCCATACCCCACACCACGGACACAAGAATCTCCTTCCCAGCATTCAAGTTATGTAGCCTAGTCTTGGATACATTTCCAACTGATGTAGTTCTACTCTGCCTGGACAATTCCACCACTGTGGATGTGTCTTTATATACAGTGCCCACTTGGGATGAAATTGTCCAGGCAATGCAGTTATGCAGGCACCTTCTAGACTGTGGGGGCCTATAACAGCTCCCAAGTTTGCCACAAACTTAGAATGTGTCTTTAAGTAGTGTCTTTTATTTTAAGATCTCAGTGTCTATATCTACACAGGAAGAGGTTGAATTCCTGGTCTAGAAAAGTTGCACAGGCTTTTAGGAACATTTTTCAGGATGATATATCTACATAAGAGTCCTTAGTTAAAGGAGTAAGAGAGTCCTAGGAGATGAAACACTAAAGGCTTGACATACCTAACTGAGTACAACACCTTTCCATCCTTGTGGATGAGAGCCATCTGGTTGGGTATGGTGATATCATATTCATGAGTCCTCTTAGAATTCCTAAAAAAGGTATCTGGGATCCACAACTGGCTCACCACATTGCCATGTAGAACAAGGGTCTCAAAGGTGTCATTGTAACGAAGACGCTCATCATACCAGGTCTGGTAGAAGATGATGTCAATGGAATATTCCTGGTGAGAAGGGACAGAAAACCATATAGTTGGGGCTAAGTAGACAAGGGATAGTCACATGCAAATGTGGTGTTTGTCACTACTTAACAGGGAACCCTGAAGACAGCATAGTAGAATATGTGATACACTGGCCTAAGAAGCAGAAGAGGGATGGAGTTCCTTCTTTTTAACCAATTCTTTCAGTGTTGGGACTGAAAGGGACTCAGACATTAACACAGACAAGAAGTCAGTCATGTCCAGCTCAAATGCCACAACTAAGGGAGCTAAGTCCCCACGTTATGTAGTGATTAATATCATTCTTCCACAGCTCAGAACTATAGAAAGGGTTGCCACAAATGAGTTTCCTACTTTCTACTTTCTCATACAAAACTCCTTTGTGCCTTGTAGAAGAATATAAAGTCTAAATTCTGTTCTGGAGAATTAATCTCCAGAAGTGACATTTCATTATTTTTGTTTTGTTGTTTGATATGGGATCTTACAAAGCCTGGGATAATCTCAAACTTGTAAGTATTCTGCCTCATCTTCGTGGGAAGTTCCCTTAAACAGCTCTGCTTCCTTTTGTAGCTGACATTGTGGCCTCTCCTCTCTCTACCAGTAGGCAAAGGCCTTGTGTCATTGACAGACCCTTAGGCTTGCATCCACTGAGTACTATAAAGAGTAAAGCAACATATGTTTGGGTGCAGAAATTTTCCATTGTCATATGGTCTTAAAAGAGTAATATTCCCAAATAGGTAGCACATTGCATTCATCAATAAATCCCTGTGTTATGGTGGATCAATACACAGCTGAACTCAGCATGACATTGCAGGTATATAGGACCATAGTGTTACTCTTACTATGTCAACACTCTTTCAGCCACTACACTGCAAATAAAAAAATCCCAGCTCAAAAGTGCTCAGAAATGTATAAGCACACACAACTCATTGTACACAGGAAAGGTTCTCTTTCAGATTTTATTCATAGCACACAGCTATTAATTAAACAACCTTTCATTCCACAGAATTATATTTTAAAATGAAATGATTTGATTTACAAAGAAAATGTCTATCTATTGTCGTTTTTCTAACAAGGAGAATTACATTTGTGCTTTGTTTTATTTTTCCTTTCAAATAAGTGCCCATATAATCTCTGAAGAGTGTGTGCACATGAATAGTTAGTTCCATGATTATGTGGTCTCTAGTTATTATGGATCCCATAGACTGTTAAACATCAAGGGAGATGTTTAATAAGAAGCACAAGAAGCAAGAAGTTCACATGGCTGAAGCTTGTAGGGCAATACACAGATGGCAATATAATTGTAATCAGTTTGAAGCAAGCACCAGAGCTATGCCACAGCACAATTAAAGGCTGGTTGCCTAATTTATTTTAGAAGTAGGTAAACTGAGACTCAGAGTGATAAGATGTCCAAAGTCACACAGTCAGTGACAGCACACTGGCTCTGCCACTCAGAGCACCATTACCATAGCTTTACACTGTCATTGCCTTCACTTGCACCAAAAAAAAAAAAAAAAAACCTTTGCGTGTCAAGGTCCAACTTCACCAGGACTTTCCTGAATAATCTGAATAATCTTGCACCAAATAACAAGTATCAGATGGGCCTGATGGCACAGGCCAGTAATCTTAGATTCTTGGGAGGCTGAAGGAGGCGAAAAGTTTAAGTCATGCCTGGGCTGTACTGAATCAAGGCCAGCTTGGGCAAATGAGTAAGACCCTGTCTCAAAAGTTAAAAAAAAAATTACAGAAAGAGTTCAATAATATACCTCAGTGATAGAACATTTTTCCATCATGAGTGAGTGAGACACTGTGATCCAGAAGCTAAAGGGCATTAGCACCCTCGGAGAAGAGGGAACAAAATCCCTGCTGGCTTTTACTGCACTGGGGCAATAAGTGTTGGAAACAGCCACCAGACTGCTGGTAGCCAGAAAAGAAAGTAAAGGGCAAAGTGTTTACCACAATGAACCAGAAAAGCAGGCAAATAATGGCAGAACTCCTGATCCTGCCCAGCCCTGTCCTGTCATGTTCTGTCCTGTCCTACTCTATCTACCCTCACAAAGAGACTTCAAAGAATTTGCACCTTCCCAGTAACTGGCAAAGTCTTATCTGCATCCTAGCACATGAACTGTATGGTGGTTGATGGGAAACCTTCATCTCCAGCCATGCTGGAGGTCTGCTATACAATATTAAAAAGAAGCATTTTACTGCTGTTTAGAAGACACCAATTATAAATTCCTCATACATCAACATAAAACTAATGGTTTGTGATTAAATTTTCCCCCAGTTTGACAGAGAACTAGAGATGGATCTCTTTTAGTTGAGCTGAAATAGAAATGCAGTGTTTCAGAGCTGGCTTAATTAGAATCACCTGCAATAATTACCATAGTAAGAGCCAACATTTCCAGACTAGTCACTGCTTTGAAGGTCAGACTGGGTGTTTTCAGAGTTAAACAAGGAGGGGAGTAGAAATATTTGATTACAATGCAATGCTTTTTTAGGTTTCTCTCTACTATTCTATCTGCCCAAGTGACTGGTGCCAAATGTCCACTTAACCAACTCCACTGACTGGGTTGCTACTCCTTTGACCAACAAACCTTGCTGAGACAATCAACTGCTTCAAATGTTGAGGTCAGAAAAGGATACTTGGCTGCCACAAATAACGACAGAGATAACCCATTCTGGAGCATTGACATGATCTGTGGCTGTGTGGAAGACACATATGTTCTCCTCAGCAAATGAATTAGAGGAAATCAGGCTGAACAAGAACAGGGACTTGAATTATGTGGAACTATGTAGAAGCTGAAACTTCGGGGGAGACTATGTATCAGATAAGGCTTTGGAAGGTTAAAAAAAATCTTATCAGTTAGATAAATCAGGCTGCTGATCCCCATCCTGAACAAGTTCCATGTATGATATCAAGCTGAGTGACTTCTGGGTGATTAGATTGTGCATAAATAAAAGCTCAGGTGAGACTAAGGCTAGAGGGATTAATAGATGTTGAACAAGGAGAGATAGATGGTGAATAAATGGGGCTAATAGTCTGCTGCCACAAGGACTCTTGCAGAGGATAGAAGCTAGTTCCCATAAATTAAAACTTACACAAATTGCTTGAGAAGTTTTCCACTGCTTGTTGGGTTTATAGGACACTCATTCAGAATACAGAGCCAAACAACTTAGGATCATCTGTTGTATTTATCAAAGTTTGTGGTTTCTCCTCTAATAAATTTCTCCTATGAAATTTAGCCAACACTAACTACGTGAAGTTGGGAAGGTCACTAGTAAAGAAACAAGCCAGCTTGCTAAAATTAAGAATGACATAATAAAGAGGAAGCAACAATTCTGAGCCACTCTCACTCATTCATGTAAACAGATTGATTTCCATTAAGGTTACTTACCTCTGAGTCTATCAGGAATACCCACCTCAACATCAGTCCTCTTTACTCACCCAAATCACACAGTGTTTATTAGGTTTAAGTATGTTAAAACTGGCTCTACCTTTGGACAAACTAAGTCCATGGCTATTATGGAACTGATTACCACCACATTTCTTTGTCAGATACTGCACATCTAAATTTTGCAGAGCATCTTTTGTAATTCATTTTGTCAGCTACCATATACTATGTTCTTAATATCAAATATTTCATAACAAAGAGAATAAGACCAACATAAAACAATTAATTACCATGAAATGAGCTAGGGAAGATAAGCTACTTGTAGGCCAGAAAAATGTGAATGCCCACAGAAGGGTATGGTGTATGAAGGGATCAATTAGTTGCTATGCGAGTCAGAGAAGTTATCACAAACAGGTGTTATCTGAGCTGGACCCTGAATGAGTGAAAAAGTAGAGCAATGGCATCTCAAACTTGAACAAAAGCCCACCTCTGAGGTACAAGGTTGTCCAGGAATGTGCATATTATAGTGTGGTCATAGTCTATAGACTTCAGTGGGCTGAAAAAAAGCAGAGTCATAGGAGAGGGCATGCTTGCTAGATTGTGGAGTTGAACTACAAATATAAGAGGCACATCACTGAGGAAGCTTGCTCAGTAGGGCTAGACAGGGAAACATTTGCATATTTCAGGTAGAAGATGATGATGATGGTTAACTGAGGATCATATTGATAATAGTGGAAAGGAAAGGAGACAAAAGAATTAAGACAAAATTATGGGGACAGGTATACAGCAAGAAATAGTATCTGTAGATTTAAGTTCATATAAATAATCAGACAAAAGAGAGGCATTCCATTGTGGCATTTACAGTTGTTTTATTGTTTTTATTTTGAATGAAAAACTGAAGATTAGAGTCACCATTCCAAAGGTCCTCTTCAGGCAGCAAAGGACTTACCTTTTCCACTCATGTTCTTAGCTTAATTATGGTTACAATCCCCACCTGACTCTCAAAACAACAACAAAAAACAACTTCCTATAGTAGCAGTAACATGAAGAGCAGAAAGCAAAAGTATGTGGCAGGTTCCTTATCTTGGTGCCCAATCTAGGAAAAACTGTCATCAAAGCTCAGTACTCACCATGTCCAGGGTGGAAATAGGCCCGAGGCTGTTGACAAAGACTTCAACAGTGACCATAGTGGGCTTTTCTGTAAGGCAAGAAGTAGTACAGGGTGAATGCCACATAGAGGCATGCCACCAAAGAGGGAGTCATCAAAAGGGAGGGAAGAGGGCCAGTCCTACTTCCTTTGTTCCTCCACGGAAAGTCCCAGCTAATGGACTGTAAGGGTTAAGCATACACTTTCAGATCATTCATCTTATTTTGGAATTGGAAAATCTGAGGGGGAAAGTGTTGACCTAGAAGAGTAATTATGGCTTACCCGGTGGATCAGCTCCAGTTGTTCCTGTCTGTATGTGGAACCATCATCTCATGTTCATTGCCCACTACTACATATGAAACCCGCTTTTCCTTCAAGAGAGGAGACGGCTTTCTTCTGTGAACTCACCTCCAACGCCAGGGCGCAGTTTATGGTCATAGTCACTCAGGATGGTGCTAAGGATTCGAGAAGCTCTTGTCAGGTTCTCTTGTGAGTGCTCAGTCGTGCAATCAACAATGAGTTCTGTTTCTTTTTCTCTAAGCTTCTTTCCACCAGGCTGAGGCTTCTGTTGGGGCTGGGTTTCTGACTCAGGATGGGGTTGCAGCTCGGGCTCTGGCTGCGGCTCAGGCTGGGGCTCCGGCTGCGGCTCAGGCTCAGGCTGGGGCTGGGGCTGGGGCGCAGGCTGCGGCTCAGGCTCAGGCTGGGGCTGGGGCTGGGGCGCAGGCTGAGGCTCAGGCTGGGGCTGGGGCTGGGGCGCAGGCTGAGGCTCAGGCTGGGGCTGGGGCTCTGGTTGAGGTTGGGGCTGGGGCTCAGGCTGGGGCCTGGGTCGGGGTTGGCGCCCAGCCTGGATCTGGACTGGGATCTGGGTTTGAGGTTGGGGCTGAGGCTGGGGCTCAGGGTAAGGCTGGGGCTGGGGCTGAGGCTGGGGCTGAGGCTGGGGCTCAGGGTGAGGCTGGGGCTGAGGCTGGGGCTCAGGCAGAGGCAGGGGCATGGGCCAAGGCAGGGGATGGGGCAAAGGCTGGCGCCCAATCAGGGGCTGAGGCTGAGGCTGGGGCTGAGGCTGAGGTTGGGGCTCAGGCTGAGGCTGGGGCTCAGGCTGGGGCTCAGGCTGGGGCTCAGGCAGGGGCAGGGGCAGGGGCCAAGGCAGGGGATGGGGCAGAGGCTGGTGCCCAGTCAGGGGCTGAGGCTGAGGATGGGGCTGAGGCTGAGGTTGGGGCTCAGGCTCAGGCTGGGGCTCAGGCTGGGGCTCAGGCTGGGGTTCAGGCTGGGGCTGGGGCTGGGGTTCTGGATCAGGCTGGGGCTGAGGCACTGGCCAAGGCAGGGGATAGGGCAGAGGCTGGTGCCCAGCCAGGGGCTGAGGCTGAGGTTGGGGCTGAGGCTGGGGCTGGGGCTGGGGCTGGGGCTGGGGCTGGGGCTGGGGCTGGGGCTGGGGCTGGGGCTGAGGCTGGGGCTCTGGCTCTGGCTGGGGCTGAGGCAGAGGCTGTGGCTGGGAGCTAAAGACTACATCATCATCATGGCCAGGGGATTTGGGGTGTGGCTGTGGCTGAGGGCTGAAGACTACATCATCATAGGCAGGGGATTCAGGCTGAAGTACAGGTTTAGACACAGGCTGAGGCTGAGGGCCAAAGACTACATTATCTTGGGCAGGGGGTTTGTTCTCCAGTTTAATGTGAGGTCCAACCCTAGAATATACAACCAAAAAATTAAGTTCTACTTCTAATCAGGCTGATGCCTTTTGGGTCAGAAGAAAACAAAAATATTTACAACACAAGGCTTAATTAGTGAATAGTGATAGTAAATGAGGAAGTACTAACAAATTAAACTTGATAATTCCTTTTAAATTTTATTGCTCTTTGGAGACTTTGTATGCAATCCTTATTTCATAATTCTTTACTTTAAAATAGTCAACAACAAATATTAGATTAAATTTTCAAAGGCCATTTCATGTGAAATCAAGTAGGTGGGCATCTTTTCTGTGAACTCTGGCCAATCAGCTGCTGTGCTGCCTGCTGTTACTAACCTTGGCCTCACATCTGCCTGAGTTGCAGCATCTGAGAGGACAGGGCAGGCCAAAGGACAGGGCGGCTGAGGAATACTTGCAAGCAGGTGGGACTGAAAATTCCTGGGATGGTTCCGTAATACTCATATTGAGGCTCTGAAGTGGAGGAAGGCAGGCTATAGAGCAGTGCTTTGTGGCTGTCTCTATACTGTGTCCTACACCCAGGAAATGGGTAACCAATAGGAGACCTTCTTGGGTACCAGGGCCAACAATGACTATAGCAACAATAATGATAATAATTATAATAAAAACACTTTAGAAATCCATCTACTAATGTATGAAAGTCCCCACAGTGTTTGAGGTTAGCATGACAGGTAGTGATGAAAGGGCCCCATTACGGACATTTTGTGATACTTCATCAGTTATATGCTTATTATTTGAACAACTTTCTGTATATGAGTTCTAGTTCAGTAAAAAGGCATTTTAACAATAAAATATCCCACCCAACTAAAAAAAAATCCCACCTACTAATATATAGATCATACTTGAGTCTTGATTTTTAAAACCAAAACTGTCAAAAACATAGGTAAAGATTTTAACACTAAATCACTGAAGCATGAATAAATCATTCTTAAATATCTAGTGTAATGATGACATTTTTATTGGTGAAGCCCTTAATGACTACAATATTTACATACAAAATGATATGAAGTCTGATATTTATTCTTTAAAAAAAGACCCTAAGTTAAAATGGGTGGTAGGTATGAAGGAGGCAGAGAAAATAAATGATCATTAATTTCTTCATTAATGTTAAGGTTATGTGGAAATTCAGTTTACTATATATCCTTGAAAAAATACAATTAAAAGCATTTGAAAAAATATCAGCATTAATTAACATTTGATGTTGAAAGGCAAGAGAGCAGTTTCCTTTAGGAAGACTGCACATTTGGTGAGGCTTGGGGGTGGCAGGGAGGGGTTGCAGACTTCTTCCTTATCATCTAGGTGCTGGTTACCTGATCATGCTTACTTTATGAAAATACACTGAGCTGTTGTTCATTTATGATTGCTGTGTTTACATATTTGTGTATTACACTTTCTAAAATGTTATTTTAAAGCTACCAGGCAACCTTAATCCCTAAAATGAGAACAAGAGACTAGGGTGAGCAGTTGCTGTGCTGCAGACTAGGGGACTTGGAATTGGACATCAAAGTGAATATTTTTCCTGAAGTGTTCCAAGCTTTTAGAATAGTTTAATTGGCATACAGATGTGTTAAGCTGGTGCCATTTCTCATTTCTGAAATAGCCTGCAAGGAAAATGATGAGTGAGGGGTGGAGGTTGCTTTGGTCCTTCAATTTGATTTTGCCAGCATAAACAAACAAATAGCCACACCTTGAGATCGTTGGGGTTAAGAAGCTCCTGAGTATACATACTCATCTCCAAAAAGCCACCAAGCTTTTTTTCAAGGCTAGAAAGAATAAAGCCTAGAAAAATCACATGGCCTAGTAGGATTTTCCAAGTAAGCTTTTCATGCTCTGCACTACCACCTTCCAAATCTGGCTGAAGAGGGGAGCAAAGGAGCATGAGGAAGGCCCTGGGTTTCTTTCTCAAATATGCTAGCCTTTTCAATTTATTGATAGATAAACCATATAAGGGGAGGGCTGTGCTCAAAATCACACACCTGATTTGAAGCTGAACCCGGATCAAATCTAAGTTTGGTCCAACACACTCCACTGCCACCTCCCCTTTTTTGACATCACATGTTGACATGCTGACAGTGTGTGCACATCCTTGTCTGTTCCTCTCAACCCCCACTAGATGGGCTGTTTTCCCCTCTCATCTCCCTCCCTTCTTCACGCCCCTCCCTCATCCTCAGCCATCTTTTTTTTCCCAGAAAAATCTCATCTAAAGGGACATGGATAACAAGAAATTGCTAGTATGCACTTAGAAATATTCACCAAGGCCCTGCTGAGGAGGCCAGCCTCACCTTGGGCACCAGGGAGTCAGAAGAGAGCCACATATGCCTACCTGAGGAGCTATAACCTGGAGTGGGAAGCGAAGACATATTGCCCCTCCTCAAAACAAACTAATGACAAGACACAAGCCCAATGCCATAGAATCTTCTAGAAACCTCAACATATCAGGAAGCTTAAGAACTTCTGACAGCTCATACACCACAAAAAAAAAACAGTCTCCAAGAAAAGAAAGAAAGGAAGGAAGGAAGGAAGAAAGAAAGAAAGAAAAGAGAATTTAAAAACACACGAAACACTCATCTTCCACCTTAAAATGCCAGAAATCCTAGGAACATCCTTCTTACCAATGCCCAGGGTCAGGGAATTATGGGAGGGAGACTGGCTGCTCAAGAGAAAACAGAAAAAGGGAGGGGGCTAGAAATCCAGGCCACAAACCACAGACCTCAGGAAAGAAAAACATTCTGGCTCAGGTCTGCCCTTAAGACCAAGCAGGATACCTTGGTGTAAGAAGGAAAAAGGAAGGCAGATGGGATGGGAACCCTGAGATAAGCAAGGCTCAGGCTCCTCCTGTCTGGGACTGGAAGAAAAACGCGACGCGAAGGGATGGGGAAACAAGTAAAGTCAGAGTTGCCTGACATCATGCCTGGTACTCAGCAGGCATTCCGGGAGAAAAATGTGAGCAACAGTGAACAGACTAGGAAACGCTCAAGCATTTCGAGGCACTTCAGGTCCCCTAGCCCAGTAGCCACCTTCCCGAAGTCCCCAGCACAACCCTGAGTTGTATGCGCTAGCTCTAGTGGTTTCTGTGCGCCCTTTTCCCCTCTTCCTGCGTTAAACTCCGAGAGGGAACCAGGTGCTCTTGCTGCCTGGCCGCCCGCTCCGGGGCTTTGAGGGCCAACCAGAGTCCACGACTCCAACAGAAGACGGTCCCACCTCCTTCCCCGAGCTCCCCTTAGTCAGTCCGGGACGCCCTCCTACCAGGGGGCACATAGGAGGGTGGCGCGCATCGAGGGGACAAGTGTTCAGGTTGGCCTAGCCATCAGGACAGCCCCTGGCAAAGCGGGAGCTGGGATAAGGAACCCCGGGAGTCCGGAAGCCTCCTGGGCACAGAGGGCTCTCGGGTAGTGGGATGGAGACTCACCTCCATTGGAGGGCCAGGAATATGTTGAGGAGCATCAGGAGAACTTTGGGTAACATCTCGGCGGTACCTGGCACGACCACCTGTGTTGAGGTCGCAGCACAGATCTGGCTGCTAAGGAGAGATGTGAAGGGTTTTGTTGGTCTCTAACTTTCACTCCTCCCACTTGCCCCGCCCTAGATCGCGCTCCGCACCATGGGCCCACCCCCTGAGCCCCATGGAAATCTCCGACGACGTGATCCCTGCGGCAGCGGGGAGCGAGGCTGGGGCGAGCAGGCGGAAGGGTGGAGAGGAGGGAGCTTTGTCGTCAAGGCCCCCAGCCGCCAGCACTGCGGCGCTGCCAGACAGCTAGGGCGGGGGGCAGGAGGAGTGAGGAGGAGGCGAGCCTACAGTGTGAGGCCCTGGGCTTGGGGAAACCGCACTAGCAGTTGTGGCTTGGGGAGACTCGACTGGCTGGGCCAGAATAGGCTCACACAGGCGAGTGGGCGGGGGGCACTTTGCTGCGACCCCCTTCGAGATCTCTGACTAGCTCTGAGATCCTTATGTTCTTCCTTACTACCTGTTGAGTCCCATGCTGTTCCACATCTTCCCCTAGCATCGCAGATTTTTCCTGGTCTTGCTCCACACCCTCCACACATTTGCTGGCATCCAAAGGAAGCTGGACAATACCACTACCGTTGGTACAGGGAAGAAGAGATGCTTAGCGGTTCTCCCAAGTAACCTTCGTAACCTCTGTTTTGAATCACTCTATAGGTCAATTCCATGTGTACCCAGGAGGCAAAGGAACAGTCAGCAGCAGAGGATCAGGCAAAGGCATTCACTGGAAGACTGAATCCCATAGGGGTATCAACTCAAAATTGTTTCCTGCTCAGCCTTGGGGCCTGGGTATCAGAGTAGGCTTTGGAAAGTGCCTCTCTGCAATAGGGCAGGCATTTTTTTCTTAGGTCTGTGCTCCAGAGAATACCAAAAGAAGAAATGAGAAAGCCGAGAGGTGGGGTTACACACCAGCATCCTTGGAATACTTCTTTTGCATAGACCCTCTGAATTGACTTCAGAGATTTGCATGACAAGCTCTTATTGATCACTAGCATCCTCCTCCTTCACCTGTTGCTCTAGAAAGCACTGTGGGCCTGAAGGCTCTGTGGAGAGGTTTTGCTGTAGCACACTAATCTAATAAACCCTCAGCACCACTCTCCCTATGCATCACTCTGCTTTGTCATGTTCTGAGCACTGCTCTCTACCTGTTTATTTTTATGGGCATTTCTTTCTGATTTTGTTTATAGTAAGTTGTTGTCACTTAAGTAAGCTCAGTCTCTCTGTCTGTCTCTCTGTCTCTCTCTGTCTCTGTCTGTCTGTCTGTCTGTCTCTCTCTCTCTCTCTCTCTCTCACACACACACACACACACACACACACACACACACACACACACACACCTTATATCTCAACTTTTCAACCACATCCCTCAAAGTTAGACACTGAGTACACAGAAGACACTCAACAAGCATTTTTTACTGCCCTGCATAAAATTTTGTGTGGCCTACTACCACTGAGGCCAGCATAAAAGGGGACTGCCTTCAGATGAGTGGTTCTCAATCTGTGGGTCGTGACCCATCTGGGGTTGAATGCCCCTTCCACAAGGGTTGCCTCAGACCACTGGAAAAAATAATATATATATTTACATTATGATTTATAACAATAGCAAAATTATAGTTATGAAGTAGTGATGAAAATAATTTTATTGTTGGGGGTCACCACAACATGAGGAACTATATTAAAGGGTCCCAGCATTAGGGAGGTTGAGAACCACTGCTTCAGACTCTGATGCAGCAGAGGAGAAATGACTACAGAGCATGGTTATGCCTCTCCTGCTTTATAGCTGCTTGGAAGAACCACCTTGGTCAGCCTATGGCCTCTGTAATTTCACAGGGTTTCTCCCTGATCCTAACACTGTTGTCACATTCTTAAATTTCTTAAGACTTCCTAAACAAGTGGCCTTGTGTATTTTGTTTTCCTTGGCCCTTTCAAATGATATATCTGGTATTGTCTGTCCTAAGGAGATTTTGTCCGTGTTCTCTTGGGCCTAGAATACTCTCCAATGACCATTAGGGTTTACTAATCCTAATCCTGAGTAACCAAAATAGGCAGGTCTTTAGGTCCCCCACCTGAGAATCCCAGGCACCTTTTTACAGGTTGAGATTTAAGCACTTTACCAACTTTCTCATAAGCACATCTGTAGTATACCTACAAGGATTTGTGCAGATTACTCAATATTATTATTGTTTCCCTGTCCTCCAAATGTTTTCTGCGTAGTCATCTTTACCAGGTCCTAGCCTGGGTGATAAAGGAATATACAAAAAGAACTCATATACTACTTTGACCTTATATATAAAGCATAGGCTAGGAAAAGGAATTGGAGATTTGAAATATAAGACTAAGTTTCAGGAGAACCCCAGTACTCCAAGGAAGAGTCTTTTTCATAGGCTTTGACTATCACAAGAAGAAGAGGGACTTCCAGGCTGCCAAAGTGCAGACATGGGCAACCCCAGGAAATTCAAAACAGAAAGGTGGAATAATTGACAAAGAAACTGGAGTTTGCCAGAAATGTTTGTGTGAAGAGTCAATATGGGAAATTAAGGTGGATTGAGAGGCTGGCTAGTCTAATGTTAACACTGAATCCTGCCAAGAGATTGCATGCTATCCTGTGGGCAACAGGGACATTTCATAAGAGTATCCAGTATCAGAACTGTACTTCAAGAAGAATTTCAGGAAGAAAAAGCTGGGAGAATCACAGGAGAGAGCAACTGCAACTGTGGAAATTTCTAATAGTTAAGATGAACAGCTTATTAGACTGAGTGTAGGAGTAGACAAAGGGGAGAAGGCTCTTCCCAGGTGACCAGGGTGACAGCAGAGAAATAAAAACATGAGAGATGGAAGAAGAGCTTTTAGTTACTGCTGTGAGAACAGTTCCCTAAGTTGCATTGTACTTCTAATGCTCCATTAGAAATAAAAATTTACATTTATTGCTTAGTTTTTGTGTGTGTGTGTGTGTGTGTGTGTGTGTGTGTGTGTGTGTGTGTGTGTGTGCATGTGTGTGGGGGTATATTTTTCTCTCCCTGGCTATTTGTAATGCAACTTATTATTCAAGTTGCATCTAAACAAAATGTTAACATAGCAGCTGTGTTTTCATAAGTGAAGCAAACTAGCCATTGATCAGAATAGCAGCAAGCACCACTTGTCAGTTGTGAATTATCAAATTTAACAAATATCAAACTGTTGTGTACCTTGCTTGCTATGTGTGTGGTTTAAGGATGAAATCAGAGATGCTAGTCATAAAGTCTGTGTGTTCCTGCTCTAGCTTGGACCCAACTGTAGCACACACATCATGCTTTCCCTCTTAAGGTAAGAGAAAGTACACTAGTTTATACAAATCGTGAAAGACCATTTAGTTGTTAATTATCTAGGATTTCATAAGACTAGGATGCTGGGTAGAGTTGAGAGTGGTGAGCTACAGATAGTAATCTATATGGCTATGCCAGGTACTGAGGTTGATGAAGGAGCAAGCAGAAGACACTCTGGTTCAGAACATCTAGACTGACAGTGGAAGTAGAGGCAGCATCGGGCAGAGCCCAATCCTCTGTGCTCTCCTGCAGATAGGGCAAGGAGGGGTTGAATTATAGATCCCCAAATAGATGGTAGATTAATATTCACAAATAAATTAGTTCAGTGACCCTAGGTCCTACATATACATAAAAATGACATTTAGAACACTTCCAACTTTTTGCATCCTCTTGAAACATTGTGTAGTGTCTGGCACATGGTCAGTATGCAACAAAACTTATCTGCCATTCTTATCATTAATAGCATTAGGAAATAACTGGTAATTGTTAGAGCAAGCACATTTGTTACTTCTAAGAACCCAGGAGGTATCTGGTCAAGAAATAAAACTCCAGATCCATATGTACACTGCAAGCCAGGACATGTCCACAGAAAGTGGAAATGGCATGTATAAAACTTGACTCTGTATTTTGGACCATTGAACAATTGAACAAATACTCTAGTCTGGTGGAACCAGCCTACAACAGACAAGAGACATGTCTGTGATGGAGACTGAGGGTCACCAGCAAATGGTGGTAGAGGGTGTTTCTAGACTATTGACAGCTTCATTCATGTGTCAGCAAGGCAAAAGATAACAGTGACCATTGGCTAGATCAACAGAGAGGCCATTAGTGAAGTTTGCATGGGATATTGCAGTGAAACAGTAGGGCAGATGCTGGTTCAAATAGAGCTGATGAGAACATGGAAGACACAGTACAAGAGAGATCTATAGCACTAAAAATTGACCACTGGGGTTAATGACATGCACACTGTGGGTGCCCATGCAACAAAAGTTTATAGTAATGTGCATACACACACACTCTGTCCCCTGTGTGTGTGTGTGTGTGTGTGTGTGTGTGTGTGTGTGTGTGTGTGTTCACAAGGGTGGGGAAGAGAGACAAAAGGCTGATGGAAGTGGATTCAGATTTGAAGGACGAGGTATGTGGGAAAATATGCCCATTTAAGTGGCACTGAGCTGATGCCTAACTGCAAAGTACCAATGGAATTAATGAATGAGTGCTGGGTCTTGAAACCAGCAAGGCACAGAGGAGCTAAAGCTACATTTGGACAAAGAGGCAGAGAAGCTCATAATTGAGGTTCAAGGGTGAAATCAATTATCTCAAACAGCAAGGTGCTGGCAGGCTCTTGGGCACTTTGGAAGTTGTGGAGGGTCCCAGGACCAATCGTAGTGCCAGAGAAGCTGCAGAAGCAAGATCAATGTGAGTGGGTGTGCTACAGAGAACAGTAGAAGACAGGCAGTGGAGTTGCTGGACTTTGTAGATTGAGGGACATGATTAACTGCACTTCTATCTTCTCTCCTCCTATTCAGAGTAATTTAAAAGAGAATGTAGAGTCTGTGGCAAACAGAATAGAAAATCCCAATACATCCTGTGGTAGTTTCAATGTAATCTCATATTAGGAGGTATGGCTTTGATGGAGTGGGTATGGCCTTTTTGGAGGAAATGTGTCATTGTGGGGGTGGACTTTGAGGTTTCCTATGCTCAAGATATCAACCAGTGTCTCAGCTAACTTCCTGTTGCCTTCAAGATGTAGGACTCTCAGCTACTTCTCCAGCACAATATCTGCCTGCAGGTGAACATGATC